TAAAACAGCATGTGCATCACAATTCAAAGTTTGTTTTTACAAAACACATATATGCATAGGAAAAATGCTGGAAGAATACAGACCAAAAATGAACAGTATTTTGGGGAGTTAGGATTATATTTTTTTCAAGTGTTTTTCCTGATTCTTTATATTTTTCCAAATAATCACCAACAAGCATGTATTATACTAACGATAAATCAATTCAATATTTCTAAAAATAAAGATAGTTCTCACCAAAAAGCCTATTTGAAAGCTTACAAGAAGATAAAAACAACCTGGATTGTTTTGAGGAGAGCCACATCCGAACCTGGACACACGAGCTGGAGTCTCTGTGGTTATGAAATTTGGGACAAACACCTACGCAAGATGACTTTTTTTTCCTGCTTGTTTCCAGTTTGTTTTCTTCCAACTCAGAATTCATTGGTGGAAAGCAATGCATTGAAATTATGCCTTAAGAAAAAGCTATTGTTTAAAATATGTAAATTTTCAAGCTTTCAAGGGCTAAAAGGCAATGTCCTATTGTCACCAAGTAAATGGGGGGAAGACTCTACAATAAGGCAGTGTATATACGTATATGTGATATATATATATATACATGCACATACACGTATATACACATATATATAAATGTGTGTATATTGCATTGTTTAGCTCAAACTATCTATACTCTGATAAGCAACCCAACTTCTAATGACTCTATGAGATTATAGCAATGAAGCTTTTAAACTTTTTCAAGGTAATTATCTTCAAAATGTTTATAACTTACAGTCATAATTTTGAGACAATCTAAATACAAATAAATATGGTAAGTTGTTACACTATTAGGACTGCTATCATCCACACCATATGTTGGGAAGTCTGGTTCACCACCTGTTTGGATAGGACTTGTGAGCTAATAATGGTTTTTACATTTTTAAGTGGTTGGGAAAAATCAAAAGAAAAATAATATTTCATGAAATGTGAAAATAGTTTGAAATCCAAAGTTCGGTGTCCACGAAGTTTTGCTGGAACCCAGACACACACATTCTTTAAAATCTCATCCAGAGCTGCTTTTGCAATAAAACAGCTTCTTGGAAGAATTACGGCAGAGACCGTAGGCCTGCAAAGTCAAAAATATTTACAGTACTAACTGATCCTGTAAAGAAAAAGTGTTTTCAAAGTGGTTCTGAATATCCTTTGTATTTCCTATCATCAGTCTCTAGATAGCAGAAAAGAGTCTTAAATTGTGGGGTATGGGGAGACTAAGGCCCCACAGAAGATATTTACGTTTCCAATTAAACCACCCCTAAAAGTCAGCCCTTCCAAAAGTACAAAACTTTTTTCTACATGGGTTCAATAAACCAAAAATCAAATGTCTAGAAGAAACTGAAATATTCATTTAATCTAGAACTAATGTCTGTACTGAAATTTTGCATCTATTCACTCTTGCCTAAAATAAATATTGTGTAAATCTGTACCACAAAAAGAGCTTCGCAGTTTCCCCCCAGCTTTATTGAGGTACAACTGACATGTGAAGTTGTAATATATTTAAAGTGGACAGCACGATGATTTGATATAAGTATACATTGTGAAATGTAGTACCTCAGTCAAGTTAACTAACAATGAAACACCTCACATAGTTACTCTTTTTCTTTTCCTTTCTTTTTTTTTTTCCTTGGTAAGAATGCTTAAGATCTACTCTCCTAGAAAATTTCAATACAATGTTATTACAATACAGTGTGATTAACCTGCTGTTCATAGATCCTCAGAATTTACTAAACTTATACCTGAAAGTTTGTACCTTTTACCCACCCCTCCCTATGTCCCTCACCCCCCCAGCCCCTGGCAACCACCACTCCACTCTCTGTTTCTATAAGTTTGACTTTTGTTTAGATTCCACATATAGGGTGAGATCATACAGTATTTGTCTTTCTCTGCCTGACTTATTTCACTCAGCATAATGCCCTCCAGGTCCACCCACATTGTTGCAAATGGCAGGACTTCCTTCTTTTTTATGGCCGAGTAATATTCCTTATATGTTTATACCAAGCTTTCTTTATCCATCAGTCCATCAATAAGCACCTAGGTTATTGTCTTGTCTCCTCCGTGTTCTGTGTCTATGTAACATTCTTCTCTTTTTAGACGGAATTATGCTTGTTACACCTCCAGGTTAAGCCAACTGGATTTAGAATTAGGTAGACTCTGTGTGTGTGTGTGTGTGTGTGTGTGTGTGTTGGATATATCTTTTTTATCTGACTATAAGTGGTTTTAGGACTTGACTCACTTTTTTTTTAGCATTGTACAGAGATAGCCACAAACTAGCTTGTAAGTACTGTGAGTAAGGAGAGTGGGTCACACACACACACGCGCACACACTCCCCGCTTCTTCACATTTACTGTCACATGAAAGCCATCTTAGGATCTCCTGGAAGAAGGATGAAATCTCTATTGTCCGCGTGATAACATTATTCATGTTCCTTTAAAATGCAGACATCTCACTTCAACAAGAAGACGAAAAGCACCTGCACCACCTCGCTGGGCACAGGGAGAGAATCCTCACACTGTTCTCACCAAACCCACAATTCTCTCCTGCCCCTTCCGTTCCCCTTTCTTTTTTTCTGGAACTTTCCATTCTGGACTTCTCCACAGAAAAATCAAAGTTAAAATAGGACAATGGATAACCCCATGCCAACCACCTAGTTTAGATCATTTTATTTATTTTTCTCTCCTTTTCTTTCTATCTCCCTCTGTGGGTCTGCGGGTCTCTCCCACAATGGTTGCTAAACCAGTAGGAAGTCGCAGACATCCCTAAAGAATTCACCATGTATGTCCTAAATTAACATTTTCTTGGATATCCACATATAATCACACACCTAAGAATTAACAGGAATTCTATACTGTCAGCTAATAACCAGTGACTATTGAAATTTCCCCTTTTAACCTCAGAATGCCTCATAGAGATTTGTCGTTGAACAAGGGTGTAATCCAGGGTCAGGTTTCCCATCTGTCTGCGAGGTTTCCTCACTTCTTTAAACTAGAACAGTCCCTGCCCAACTCCCTCCACATACATTTCTTTTTCAGGATACTGATTTTTGAAGAGACCAGATCGTTTCCCTTACAGGTTGTACATTCTGGACTTTGATGATCGCTTTCCTGTGGAGTCATTTATTTATTTATTAATGTTTTTATTGGAGTATAATTGCTTTACAATGGTGTGTTAGTTTCTGCTGTTTAACAAAGTGAATCAGCTATACATATGCATATATCCCCATATCTCTTCCCTCTTGCGTCTCCCTCCCACCCTCCCTATCCCACCCCCCTAGGTGGTCACAAAGCACCGAGCTGATCTCCCTGTGCTATGCGACTGCTTCCCACTAGCTATTTTACATTTGGTAGTGTATGTATGTCCATATATACACTACCACTCTCTCACTTTGTCCCAGCTTACCCTTCCCCCTCCCCATGTCCTCAAGTCTATTCTCTAGTAGGTCTGCATCTTTATTCCGGTCTTGCCCCTAGGTTCTTTATGACCTTTTTTTTTTTTTTTTAGATTCCATATATATGTGTTAGCATACAGTATTTGTTTTTCTCTTTCTGACTTACTTCACTCTGTATGACAGACTCTAGGTCCATCCACCTCACTAAAAGTAACTCAGTTTCGTTTCTTTTTATGGCTGAGTAATATTCCATTGTATATATTGCCACATCTTCTTTATCCATTCATCTGTCGATGGACACTTAGGTTGCTTCCATGTCCTGGCTATTGTAAATAGTGCTGCAATGAACATTGTGGTACATGACTCTTTTTGAATTATGGTTTTCTCAGGATATGTGCCCAGTAGTGGGATTCCTGGGTCATACGGTAGTTCTATTTTTAGTTTTTTAAGGAACCTCCATACTGTTCTCCATAGTGGCTGTATCAATTTACATTCCCACCAACAGTGTATGAGGGTTCCCTTTTCTCCCTGTGGAGTCATTTAAATCATATTTCTATCCTTTATATTTCCTGTAAAGCGAAAGTTAGGTCTAAAGGTTTAACAATATGATGCCATATTCCCCACAATGCATCAAGCCTAGAAGTCTGAAATGTCAAGGGATCCCACCTTGGTAATGTTAGTTTGGATCAATTGGTTAAGGTGTTGACCACCATTGCAAACGTCTTTTCCCTTTGTAATTTGCAAATAATAATCAGTGAGGTTATACTCCGTCGTTGTTGCAAACAGCCTTCAGCCCAGCGACCTCTTTAAGTCGTGGTTTCAGTTTGTGAATAGATCTAAGTATTTCATTAAAAATTGATTGATAAATGGTAATTTTCTAATTCTAGTATTCCTTTCCCTTTCATTAGCTGGTGTCATCCTGTCAAGAAGAGTTTTCCCTCATTAACTGAGAATGGCCTGGAGTTCCTTCTAAAAAGTCGAAGTAAATGCTGGGTTCTTTACCTTTAATTCCCATTTCATAGTAAGAATTTGGGACAGTAATCACTGACAACTGAAGCAAATTAGATATTTCTCTCTGTCTCCCTGTCTCTTTCTCTCATATACACACACACATCATGGACTCATGCATTTTTACTTTTACATTTTTATAATCATTTGTTTTTGATTAACGATGCTGATAAATGATGCTCAGTTTGTCCTCTGTTTGTCCTTGAGAGCTCCTTACAGCTGATGCTCTGACATGTCCTTATTATCCTTTGCTGTAAAATGTTCTTCCTGGGTCTCTTTCCATGGCTGAGACCATGTGTCTGCCCTTTGCTACAATGAGCAGCTTCCCCTCCCCGCCGTGTCCCAGCAGCACCTCCATCTGAAGCGACACCTCCTCACTCTAGACAGTGTCAGCCAATACATTCAAGGCAGAGCCAGCTTCCCCATCCCTGCCAAACCCTGGCTTGACACGCCAATGGGCATCCAGGAGAGCCCCAGCAGATGCACAGTGCCCGGCGGGGTCACAAGGGGGCCCTCCCGAGGGCTCGCGGATTATCTTACTGAACTGTGTAATATCTAGCAGTTGATTCCTCTTACCTGGCATAGTAGTCGTTGGGAGGGACTGCTTCTTGGAAGAACTGGAACTGGTACAAATACAGTCCAATCAAGTGTCCCGCAGTGAAGATAGCCAGCAGGACACAGAGACAGCTGAACAGCAAGGGATCGAAGGTTCGGCACCAGGACCACCAGGTGCACAGACCCAAAAACACAAAGAAGTACACGGACGAGGTCAGAGAGGGCAGCATCATTCCTGAGGAGGGAGAAACGCTAGAGTGAGACACCGCGTAGATGCAGAAACCGTGCGCCTCGCAGGAAACGTCACTATTGGAGATGATGTGAACTTCCTTCCTATGCTTTTAGTACAATTCATCACACTTTATTGATAAAATCAGAATTAATGCTATTCTTAACGTGAAAAAAAGTCACATGTAAAGTGAAATTTGTAAATATGGGGAAATACCAGATGATGAAGAAACCCTACCTGTGGCGTTTGGGCCCCGCAAACATCCACTTTTCATACCAGTAGAATTTAGCTTATTTACTTGCCTGTTTCCATCTATCTACTCTCCCCCAATTCTTCAGGAATACTGTATGTGCACTCTAACTTTCCCCGATAAATTTTTTAAAATAATGATTTGCTTTTGTTTGTTTGTTAACTAGGATTCATAATACTACATTCTGTGGCAGCTAAATTCTCACGAAACCTTTGCCCTGCCTGATGAAATCTGATTTGCACTACCACTAAACGGGGAAATGTAAAACGAGGTAATTCCTTTACAGGTATTTAAAAACTTTGGGGGGAGCAATGACTTCCCATCAAAATCCTGAGTTACATTTCTCGAGAAATACTATTCACTTTTCCATTTTTTAACTTTCCTATGGAAAAACAGTTAAATTGTTTCATCTCGTGAAATTTCACCGAAGCAGGATGGAATAAAGTTCACAGTACCTCTGGGGCAACGGGGAAGGGGGCGAAGATGGAGATAACGTTTTTATGGAACAAGCAGCCCGCAGCCAACAGCGAGAGGAAGTGAGCGTCTGTGCTGGAAGATTACAATCTAACTCTGGAAGAAAAATAGTCTATCCTGGAGAGTTACATTAAGATTGCTAGTGACTCAATGTAAACAGAAAAGCTTTCAGAGAGCACATGTGCAGCTCTGGACGGGACCACGAAAACTGTCCCTTGTCCCAGATCACCATTCACAGGCTCTGAGGGAGGACAGCAGTTGTCCGGATCGTCACATAGAAAATGATGTCACCTAACAGCTATGGAAGAAGACTGCTTTACAGAGGTTAACAGCAACCATCGAAAACCATAAAACCTAGATCTGAACAGGAAAAGCTACATGTGTGTGTTTGGTTTGTACATGTGGCCAATTTTACAAAAGCTACAGCTATGATTTTGGTGCCACGGAACAGAACTGCTTCCTTCTTTGTTTTCTCTTCAACCCTTCCTTTCATTACTCGCCAGCTCCCTCCTTGTGCTCCACCAGGAGTTGGAGACCCTCACCTGATGAACCCAGTAAAATCGTCACAACCACCTTCCCCGCGGTGGTTATCATGTTGCCAATGAACTCCTTAAGCTTGGAAGCCACAGAGGCCAGCCTGCGGAACAGTTTTAATTTCGTGCTTTCTTCCAAATCGCCTTCAACACCATCTCTTTCCTCTAAATCCTCTTCATAGATCAGTGCCTCTTCTGGGTCTATTTTTCCTCCTCCAGCCTAAATAAATGAAAAACAGAAAACACTGCAGTCCAGAACTCTGCCTATCCACCCAACAGATTATATGGTTTGCAATATACGGGCTAGTCAATGAGGTGAGTTTCACAGATCAGGAAAAATTGCAGACAACCACTCAACCACGTTAAGCACCCCCAGGTCTCCAGTTGTCCCTGTGTAAAGCCCAAGGAACTTTGATCTTTCCTGAAAAAGTAAACAGGAAGCATCGCTAATCATAGGGTCCCTGACGGCATTTCATCTTACCTACATGAGCTCATTTTTTACAGGCAGAAGAAGAAACTGTCCATTCATAAAGTTAGCTGCTTATGGTTCCTCAAATTTACCGAGTTTGCCACCAAGGCGATGGGAAGTTTGATGAATGTGTCCATGGCTTAAACGGAAAGGATGGGCCAAATCAGCGCTTAGGAAATCCCTTTTCTTTCTGGAGTTTATTTTTGTTCACTATTTTGGGATTTCCTGCCCGTGGGAGGATGAGTGGTCCCAGCTACTTGGCTAAATAAATAGTCGCTTCCTATCTTATCCTTTTAGAGAATCGTGCACCAGTCCAATCCCAGGCCATTCAGGACCTCAGGACCATCACTAGAGATTCAGGAAGGAAACACATGTACAGCACATACACATACTTCCATGGATTATTTTATTTTATTTTTTAAACATCTTTATTGGAGTATAATTGCTTTACAATGGTGTGTTAGTTTCTGCTGTACAACAAAGTGAATCAGCTATATGTGTACATATATCCCCATATCCCCTCCCTCTTGCGGCTCCCTCCCACCCTCCCTATCCCACCCCTCTAGGTGGTCACGAAGCACCGAGCTGATCTCCCTGTGCTATGCGGCTGCTGCCCACTAGCTATCTATTTTACGTTTGGTAGTGTATATATGTCCATGCCACTCTCTCACTTTCTCCCAGCTTACCCTTCCCCCTCCCCATGGATTATTTTAAACTGGGTATCCTGTGGGGTCTTTTTGTTTGTTTTTAAAGAACACATAAGAATGTTTTGGCTAATTACAATCTTATCCTGGAAGGATTAGATTTTTTTAAAGGAATTATAAATATAAACCATCACCTTAAGACAAAAGGAGCCGGTTTTAGACGCATGAAACTTTGCTTGCGTTCACCCCAGGCTGACAGGCTTCACCCTGAAAAGACAGCAGCTGTCTGCAGAGCCAGAAGGATCCTTAAGCCCAGATCAGACATGGAGCCAAGGCTTAGGGAGTAGAGCCTGGCTGCTCCATCTTCCCATTTTAAAGGTTCTTTCTTTTTAAAATTTTTTTATTGAATGAAAGATTCTTCAAATTCTATAGTGCTTTACAACTTTCAAAAGTTTCACGCACATGGTTTCATGTAATTCCATAGCAAGCCTTTTCCCCCCACCCTTATATTGCCCCTCCCCCCTTCCCTCTCCCCACTGGTAACCAGTAGGTTGTTCTCTATATGTGTGTGTCTGCTTCTTTTCGATTTATTCACTAGTTTGTCATATTTTTTAGATTCCACATATAGATGATAACACACAGTACTTATCTTTCTCTGTCTAACCTATTTCACCTAGCATAATGCCCTTCAAGTCCATCCATGGTGCTGCAAACGGCATTATTTCATTCTTTTTGATGGTTGAGTAGTATTCCATTGTATATATATACACCACATCTTCTTTATCCATTCATCTGTCAATGGGCATTTAGGTTGCTTCCATACCTTGGCTATTGTAAATAATGCTGCTTTGAACATTGGGGTGCATGTATCTTTTCGAATTAGTGTTTTTGGTTTTTTCAGGTATATATATATATACTTTCTCGATACACTTAGTTCAGATATTACATAATATTCACTGCTGGTGTCTGAAGCTCCATCTGTGCACCAGCTCACTGCAGGAAACCAGGCACAGGAGACGGGTACACAGCTCAGTAAGTGCTGTTTGCCCAGGTGGGTACAGACCACTTGGGACTTACATTGGCTGTTGATGAAGCCAAGGCTACAGGATGCATCCCCTCCCCTACATACACACACACACAACACACATACGTACACACACACACACATACACGATCCACACACACAACACACACAGAGACACACAGAGACACACATATACACAGAGACACAATACACACACAACACACACATACATATACAAAGACACACAGAGATACACACAGAGACACACACGCAACACACATATGTACACACACAATACACATACACAGAGACACACACATACACAATACACACACAACACACAATATACATACAGAGACACACAGAGACACACACATACCTACACACAACACAGACACACACATACACACACAGGGATTTAATCCCAGGCAATTCAAGTTCACATACCCAAAATGGGTTTTGCATTCTACCGTATTCCATCACAGCACATTTGTACTTTTTCTGGAAGGAGAAAGAATGTTTCAGGCTTATGCATTAAGATTTTTCTATCTGTTCAGAGCTCAGTATGTACCAGTGTTTCTAGTAAGAGACAGAGCCCCACACATGTAAACAAGTAGAAAAATTAACAGCTAAATATCTCACAGCAATAGATGCTATTCTGAGAATTAAAACAGGGTGATGTGATTGCGAGTGTCAGGGCAGCTATTTTAGGTTCTGAGGTCTGGGAGAGCCTCTCTGAGGAGGTGACATTTCAGCTGAGATCTGAATGTCACAGAGTCACCAGCCATGTGAAAATTCTAGGCCAGAGCCTTCCAGGCAGTGGCAAGGGCTGGCTGAGCCTCCATGGTGTGTCCCCAGACCCACTCCCTCCTCCCCCTTCTCCTCGTTGTCAGCAGATACCCCTATGTCCTGCCTCACAGAGACAAGAGGGCTGAGTCCCAGCCAGTGCATCAGCCCACCCCCTGCAGCCCACCTGTGGGCAGGTGCTCATGGCCCCCTCCTGGGACGGTGGATGAGCTGCAGGTGCTGGGGCACCTGGGAGAAGGACAGCCCACCACCCTCCCCTGCCCCGCATCACCCACGTTTGGGAGTTTCAAAGCGAAAGTCTCCAAGAGTTGGCTGGACGCACGGCGGCACATCCCCGACACTTGAACCCGCTCTAACAGGACTTTGATAACCAACTACTCCACCCAATGAGGGGAACAACAAGATCTGTTTCGCAGGGTGACTCCAGTGGCTGCAGGGGGAGGGCAGGGGGATCCCACAGCCAGGAGGCTGTTCTGATGGAGGAGGGGGCAGGGAATGGAGCTGAAGAGCGTTCGTGTCTTGGCCGAATGTCTTGAAGGTCGAGTCAGCAGAAATGATTGGTAAATTTCACGTGGAGGGAGGAGGGGTGGAGGAGAATCAGAGGTAGTTCCTGTGCTGTTGTTGTCTTTGCTGATGAGATCGGGACAGCCAGGAGTGGAGCAGGTGGGGGAATCCAGTTCTGAGATGAAGGTGTCACGGGGGCAGCTAGTGTAGGATTCTGGAGTGTGGAGAGGTCTACCTGAGGTTCACTGCCAAAGTCAGGGGTCTGATGAGGTGACCTGGAGAGAACACAGAGGTGCCCACCTGTCGGAGCTGCCACATCCGGGACGGGACCAGTCTGTCTCTCCAACCTTATCCTCATTCTCTCGGCCCAGAAACATCACATGCAGGGAACCACATGGAGAACCCGGAATCCACAGGTTCTTTGCCTTGGGATGTGCTGTCCCCACCCCACGGGAGCCCTTGCCCAGTGTCCAAGGTCCCGGCTCCCAGGCCAGCCTTCCTTCAGCTTCTCCATCTCCCAAAGCTGAGTTGCTGTGGGGACCAAGCTGAGTTGCTGTGGCACTCACGGAGCCTTCCACGTGGGGCATCTGTTGCTTAGTACCTCCCGCACAACAGGTGGGTGACACACTAAAAATCCCTCCTAGAGGAAGGAAGTTTGTCCAAAACCTTCAGTTCCCATACTTGAACGAGGAGACAGAGAGAGAGAACACAGGTAGAGGCGCCTGGTCCCAGTCAGAAACACACTCCTAACTTTCGTAATAAATGACTGACTGCTCAGTTACGGAATTGCTGCGGATGTAGATGAAATCAAATAGAAATCTCTGGTCAAGAACCTTCGTGAGCTCAGACAAATGCATTTCCCTGACCTCTCTCGGGTGGGACTGGGGCCCCTGTGATTTTTATAAACATACCAGTGTACTTGAGGTTTTCCAGCATTTTTGTACCAGAATCCCTGGGGCTTTCAGTTAAAAAACACTTTTTAAACCTGCCAAGCTGAGAGGGAGCCGAAAGTGAGACCCTACCGTCCAGGCCGGTGCCAGAACTGCCATTAGCCACATCAGGCTGGCTTGGTAACAGGCTGGCTTTGTCCCCAAAACAACCCATATGTTCAGCGTAAACCCCGACGGCCTGGAAGCGCCTCAGCTCACCCGACCATATTTACCAACGAACAGCCTTAGCTGCTGGGGTTGTAATCTGTCCGTGTGTCGGAACCCAACTTGCTTCTGGCCTTGGAGCTAAGAAGGAGCAGCTGTAAATAAAGATTTATCCCCCTGGTTCCTGAGCTCTCGTAGTAATGAAAGACAAAGAGGCCCTTTATAAAGTTTAAAAAGCCAAATAAAATATTACACGTCAGTGTGGCCCAGCTCAAAGCCTACAACTTATCTGAAGCATTGTAAGTGCTTTAATGCATCTTCTTCAAAAGCCCCTGACTTCGAAACACACCAAATGTACTAAGGTAGCATCTCATTTCACGTGAGGGTGCTCCCAGTGCTACAGAGTCAACTGTGTGAGAGGCCATGGTTCCCTGAGCCTGGACAGGGCCTCCTAGTCTCACCCCACCACTGCGTCCCACCCTGCAGCCCTGCCCCAGCAGTCACAGCATTAGCTGTTATTCCCACTCAATTCTGGACCAGGAAGACACCATCGATTACTTTCAGTAGAACCCAAACATCATGTTTCCTTATCTCCAAGCACTAAACAATTCAGCCTGGGTTGGACTAAATTCCAAGAATCACCTGGGAATCTTTAAGAGGACAGATTACCAAGCTCCA